ACCACAAAGGCATTCAGCCTTTTCATTAGGATGATAATGGGGCAGAAGCCGGAAAGGGCCCCATGTCTGAGCACCATAAGTTGTGGTGATGGCTTTGTGGTGATGTCATGCGTGTCGATGGGAGCACAGTGTTCTGCTATGGTCCGACAATGACAGTCCGGGACAGAAGAAACAAAAAATACACTTGAAATTTAAAGTTAGCCCCTGAGGCAAGGTCGATCTGGCAGATCTTGGAATATGACCTCGCTCTGACCCATTCATGCCACAGCAAAGTTGTTAAGTCATCGCTGGGAAGTGCACTTAGGATAACACACTTTGAATAATTAATAACCGTTGAAATGAATAATAATGAAATAAATAAAGAAGAACATGCTCTGTCCTCCTGGTAAAAGAAATGACAAGCAAGAAACTAAATACACTGCTGCTCTACTCTATAATATCCAATTGTACACCTGCATGTTTGCACCTGCCTCATTTTGTGACAGAGGCTGCCAACCCGTTACAATCAACAATAAGGATCTGCAGTCCAAACTACGTAGTGTGCAACAGGGAGGCCACAACAAGTCCCAGAATGAGCAGAAACCTGATCATGAGAGAATGTGATAACATCATTTCACTTACCTGCATAGAAACGTAACAAGGAGCCAATTTCAGTGTTAAGCCCTTCCTCTTGAACTCTCCACGGGTCCTTAAATCCAAGCTTAAAGAGAAAGTCATTCTGGATCTGCAGAGGCCTCTCATCTGGGCTAAGCCTCCTGACAGCCTCACCATGCAGCTGAACATACAGTGTGGGGCAGGGATCAGAGGAACCTCCATTGTGGTCTGCTGTCAGCCCTGATTTCACATCACATTTGCCACAGTCTTGGATATCAGGTGTATTACCTGTAGAACAGGCTCTTGACAATGAGCCGGCACTACTGCTGGGTGGCAGGCTGCCCAGACGGTGGGGGTTTAGTCTGCTATCTGGTCCCATATTGTTAGCCATGTCGTTTAAATGTCCAATGTTGCACTGTGTGTAGTTGGCAGTGACAGCACTGATTCCATTCGTGTGATGCTGCGCGATGGGGTCCATGCTTGTGCTCGACGCAGGACAGTCGAGGTCCAGTTCGTCTGAGGAGCTGCCGTACATGTCGTGGCCCTCTGTTGCACTATCAAACGAGGGGCTGAGGATGGATGCCTCTGTGCCCAGCACCATGTCATCGCTGAGGGAGTCCCTGTGCTCGCTGAGCCGGGCCCCGGAGCTCAGGTCATCAAAAGCACTGCTCTCCACATCAGAGCCAGAATTTAATCCATAGCTGTCTAAACAGTTCCTGTGCTCCGAGTCATCATCATTGGGGGTATCCATGTTGGAGTTAGAATTTAAATCTGACAGTGAACAGGCTATGTTGTCTTGTGACTCTGACTCTGGGCTGAAAAGTTTCCCATCAACGTCCTGTTGCCTCTCGTTTGCATTCTCCATGAGCAGCAGTCTCAACCTGTCACTTGGATGGCCCCTTAATTCAGTGGATTCATGGGGAGTCAGGTGGTTGCATTTTATACTTAAGTCTTCGTTCACCTTGCATGGGTCATCTTTATAATCATACTTCACATTGCAGTTGCCATTTTGGTCAGTCTTAGGGTTATCTTTACAAAAAATGCGCATGACAGAGCTCGACTTACTGCAGAGTTTACTCAGACGTAGCGCGACCTCGCCGGCTGTGGTGTCCATAGTGCAAAGAACCGGCCTGGGATATGAGGGCGTCAGTCGGTCGTGGACGTGTATGGAGCCCCGGTGGAGATCTGCTCTCACCCACTCGCGATCGGAGGGCTGCAGCTGCATGTTCTGTCGGTGTTTCAGCAGAGTCTTCCGATCCAGACTCCGAGTGTGTAGAGACGCAGAGGAAAGGGCCGAGTTCATCTTGGCGCCGCAGGCGGCTGTGACAGCTGAGGTGGCGGTGGCTGCAGCTGCGGCGGAGAGGTTCCTCTTCAAGCGTTTCCGTCTCAACAGGAGGGAGCTGGAGTTGTTGGATGAGCCCCGGCCATTAGACGCCACAGTTCGCTTTGGCGCACTAGACCCCGCTGAAGTGGCGGAATGAGAAACGCTATTCCCGTTCTTTGCCTCTATGCGGGAGTGTGCCAAATGTCCACCGCCATCATCCGCTGGAGTCCCCCGGGCGACAGACAGTCCGCTGGGCTTCTTCATTAACTTGGTCGCGCCTCTATCCGACGCACCATCCTCAGCGACAGTCTGCACACTTTCCATCTCTGCCAATGAAAAGTCCCCCTCTCTAAATAAATAACGGTGCGCACTTGGTTACACCTACGTCTACATTTAAAAGCCGTAAAAAGCGTGCCCACCGTGGTAATATCCGCCGACTGGGCGGTGTTGCTGACTTATTCCACTAGTAGTCATTCACTTCTTGCCTTCCTTTCTCCGTCGGAGTCTCCTCCGCTGCTCCAAACAAACATTTTACCGATGAAATTCGCTTGGAAGAGGCTGGGCGCGCGGGGACAGATCAGGGCGGAGACGTGACTGTGCGTCCCATTTGGACCGAAATACAGTGCTGGAATATGAAATGAACGTCGACCGCCCTCCTACGCAAATACTGACTGATATATATTCATGAGGAGGACACAAGATGGGGTCGCTAACAACAACGCAGTGCATTGTGGGAAGTGTATTGAGCCAGAAAGCGCCCTGCTGTCGCCGCTGTAGGGAAGACATTATGTAATGACTTCATTTCCCATGAAGCTTTTCTTTAGTTTCAGTCAAGTAAGGCGGTGAACAGATGAGGGGCGTAAACATAGCTCGTATAAAGTGTTTGGTGTGCAGCTTCCGAAGTGCGTCCTCTTATCTGCTGTAGTGTTATCTTGGTGTGAAGGAAGCTAAACTAGCATACCGCTAGTAATCTGATTTTTCAAACTAAACTACTGCATACGCTGCGGAAACGTATCAGCAGTCAACTGTTACGTTGACCTCATTTATCTGTGTTACGTCCGTGAGAAGTTACACACAATGGGTTGTTCATTAACTTTAATACAATTATGATGCATCGCAATGTGCAACATCGCTATAGGTTTATTTATTTGACACTAGTGGTGACGACGAGGCAAATAACTTCAGCACCATCTCATCAGGACGCCATTTCACAAGACTATACAGCCCCTCGGTGTACATGCTTTTATTCTATTGTGTTTCTCGCCATCTAGTGGAGCAAACCTCAAAGCTTGACCTTTTTCCTGTTGAGGACGCAACGACCCTGGTCTTTTTCAGGTCAATCTTTTCTAATTTAGTTTAGCCAAAGGGGTAATAGCCTACTATTATAAGACTTGCAAATCCAAAAATGATTCGTCAAATGCACACTGGCTTTGGTGCAAATGCTGCAACTTTTTCAGATACAGCTCTGAACAAAATGAGACCACTGCAACATTTTCAGTTTCTCTGGTTTTACTATAGGTATGTGTTTGAGTAAAATTAAAATGTATTTTTATTGTATTCTATAAACTACTGACAGCATTTCTCTGTGTTGGAAATTAAACAGACACTGCAATGGAATTGCTGCCCTATGTAGATATTGCGATTTAAGAAACATGTGGACTGGTCTCTTAATTGTTTCCGGACCTGTAGCCATATGTGATTGAGTATTTATCTTCAAGTCATAACCTGTTAGAACAAAAATAGTTAAGCTTGCCTCTTAAACTGATTTACAGACTTACCTAAATCTAAAAACAAATTGCATATAGCCTCGCTTCGCTTGTTTTCTTGTACAGTGGAATGTTTGTTCATATATGTTCACAAATCAATAAAACAGACATAGTTGTGCCTTTGTTAAGTTAAGACACAGATTGTAGGCTACATCTAGTGTAAAACACGTTTGTCAGTATCAAATACAGTATAATCAACTATTTTTTATAAAGGTAGTGATGACACCTTGTCAACCATTTGATGCATGCAGGCTTTCAATATACTTGTCCAACCTAAATGCGCATTTGTTCCAATTTCAAACCTAATTCCGCCTCAGTTTTTGCATGTGAATTTAGCATAAAGTTATTAAGGGAAAAAGGTGGAGTCTGACTAGTCGAATGCCTGCAGAAAATGTATTGGACATATTTTTCTTCCCAGTTCACATAATTGAAAGTGCTCATTTGAGATTGAAGAGGTTTTATATTTCTTGTAGCCTAATCATGGGGATGCAAAAAGTATACAGAAAGTGACACATAAAAGAATAGGTTTAGTTTTGCCAGGCTGTCTCAAACAATATTCACATCCTCATATGCACTTATTTTGCTTGCTCATTACATTTAATTGAGTAGCTTTTTTGTTGTGCAAGGCAACTAACATTAAGTGCACTTAACCATGAATATACCAATGCAGAACAGCAACAATCTTGCAAGTTCATTAGCTTTAAATAAGCCAAACCATTTTAAGTACCAGTGAATTGGCTTTTTCTAATACACTTCAAATGTACAATTGCGTGGATTAATTATTTTTTTCAATACAAACTTAACAATCGTTAGGCTATCCTATCCTCTGAAAGATGGTAATATGGAACATCAACTTTTTATAATGTTAAAAGCAGAAACAGAAAGTGTCCTGCTGAACTGGTTAGATTAAAACATACAAGGTCTATTTGTTAGCGTTACATTTGAGAGTCATGTTTTTTTTATATCTAAATGGCTGAGTAGTTTTTAAAAATGTGCCGCTTATTTGCAGTGGGTAAAGTATCCGAGCTGGAATGTGTTTTACCAAGTTACCCGAACATCTGAATACAGCATTTCATAAAGTACAGTAATAGAAAAGAAGAGTAATAAAAGCCTTTGTTTAAGAATGGGGAATAGATCTCTGAACTACAGGGCAAGACATTTGTGAAGCAAGCCTTATTGCAAATAGCTTGTGGGGAAATGAATATAACATGTTTTGCAATAAGCTTAGATACAGAAGAGTGTACAAGTGGTACAATTACTGTTTGGCAGGACTGGGCAGATTTTTCTAATCTAATAAAGTATCATGACAGTGAAAATGCATTCAGAAATGGAATTTAATTGGCATGATGTATCCTTTACATGGTATTCTGTATTTCAAAAATGAAAAAAATAACACTTTCAAAGTCATTCAGTTGCTCCACAACATGTAAAAGGAAACAGATTATTGCTGAATTCATGTTCCTTGATTCCAGCAAAATGGAAAACCTCAGCCTGGTGGCTAAGGTTGTTTTTTCTTAGAGCTGAAATGACAACTGGAGTGTCTGGATTAATTCCTGTTAATGCTCTATTGTTTTGAACCTATAAATGGAACATTTAAAAAATAAAACATGATGCTGGAATCATACAGAAGCTGGTTCGGATATACCTCATACTTCAAAGTCTCTAAGATAAGATGACCCAATGCAATTTAAATTAAAAAAATTGTTACATGAGAATTTACTTTGTCCTGATTCTGAGGATAAACTGCTCCAAACCAAAAAAAAATCATCCATTGTTTACATCAAACCATAAAGTGCAAAACAATTTTCATTTTCCCAGTTTCCAGGTTTTATCGGGTCATCTATCCATCAATGATGGAGACCTTGAAAATAAGGGAAAACACATTTTACTTTGAAGACACATACATTATAGAAGGAGGCCAACAGCCTTTCACTTCCACTACTTATCTTCATCTGACAAACTAGAATTTCATATTGCAACTTTAAAAGTAATACAGTAAAAAGTAAAAAAAAAAATCAGTATACATAAAGCTTATGAGCATTTCAATACTGGTGTAGGATCAGTGATCAGTTAACAAGAGCATTAAAGTGAAGAGACAATATGGTCACAGATCAGATAATCAACAATAGTATACACACCTGGGCCCTGACCTTAAAACAGTGACCATTGTAAAGCCAAACTCTTAACAGTGCAAAGAAGTTTGCAATAAAAATGTAAAAATCCTGAATCGATGAGTTCACCTGTATCTGTACTCTTGTTTTAAAATCGAAAGTGCATCATCGTTTAATTATAGACTTCAGTCTGAATCAAATCGTGTCCTAATGTGTTGGAAAGCTGTTAAAGATTCAGATTTCTTGGAGACTAAGTGAAGAAAAATGCAGAAAAAGGTCGTCCTGAATAAAGCCTTCTTCAAGTAAAGTATAAAAGAAACGTGAAACCCTGAAGTGAGGCGTAGTGTATAAGCACAGTAAAAAAATGGTAGGGAGTACACCTGTAGTTTAACCATTTCTCTACAAACAACAGATATTGCTTTGTCAAAAGCTTATAATGACATGAGTAGAAAAGTAAAGTGTATAACAATGCTCATTATGAACAAAGAAAACTGCTTCAAACACAACAAATGTAAGTCATAATGTCGTGATCATCCAACTCTTGGTTATCTAGGACATGTACAAACATGGAAATTAAATTATTTAGGTGCCTCTATCAAAAACAATTAAAAACTGAAAAAATAATATAAAAACGGATAATTGTGGCACTCACTGGAACCAGAATATATCTGCCAGTTGAAGTTTTTCCAATAAATGAATAAGATTGTAACATGAATAAAACTTGGTCAAGCTTAATTCATCTTTAAATGTAATTTTCTTTCTTCAGTATAAACAAAATGTACATTTGGAGAGAGTGGGGGCATTGCCCAAACTCTCAAATTCACAGTTAGCAATTAGATGACAACATTGTCAGTACATTGAGAATTGCACATATGAGGGAAGAACAGAAGTCATGACTACATAGTAATGACACCGAGGGGACTGTAGGGGGTGCTAAAGCCTAAGAAAAGCAAACAAATATTGCACATGATTCTAATTTTGGACCTCCCTCCTCTTCGTCTAAGCTGTTTACGAGTCCCAGCAGGTGCAGTGAAGATGGATCTCCTGCTGATGTAGTGAGCTCGGAACAATACAGCCTGCATCCTCGAAAAGAGTTGTCCATAAGGGCTGGAGGAGTCCAGACTGACAGCATAATAAAGAAGAGGGAACAAATAACATCTCCACTGAGACAAGTCCACTGGTGCTATTGATGAACCAAGGTACGGCTGCCTCAGAAAATGGTGAAAGTGTCAATCAATTGCAAACAAAAAGAGACCCGCTTTCCAAATGTCGCAGAACTGAGCGCCTGTCTGAGAGCGCAGCAGAGAGGGTGAAGAGACAGCCGGGCAATTTCCATAGAGGGGCAATGTGAATCAAATGGAGTCATTGTGTGCTACTACAGTGGACGGAGTAGTGGGGGACTGCATCTTGCAGCGTAGTACGGAGTAGTGGGGGTCTGCATCTTGCAGCGTAGTACTGACTCAGTTTTGTGGGTCTTGAAAAAGGCATTTCAGAAGACATGGCCTTATTGTAGAAACGGGCACCATTTTACCGTCCAGCACTTAAGGTTCTCAGTGGAGGAGAGCGCCGGCATGGCGTTGCTCAAGACAGTGATGGTCTACTATGGTCGGTGAAACCTAAAAGGGGAGCACAAAAAGTGTCAATATCATCACCTAAGAAAGAACTCACTGCATCGCACAGCCAATACTGTGAAAAGCTGCTGTATACATTTAATTTCATGGTCACATAGTAATGAATATTAACCGTTACCTGGTTAAATGGCGACTTGACTCGTGCACCTCCATCTCATTGCTCTTGAAATCATTGAGTTCCTTTCGTATAGCTGCCTGCAGAGGGCAAACAAGAGGGACATTTGAGAAAAGCTGCAGAGGCTTAGTACACAAACTGCAGCCTCTAAGCCTTGACTACTTCCTTTTAGCATACTTCATGCATCATTTACTCCCATCTTGAGGACATGAATTGAATTATTATTCTGCTGAATTCTCCTCTCGCATCACAAGAGCCCTTAATCTACATCCAAGTAGCTGAACTTAATACACAATGTGTCGCTGTTACTTGGGTTGTCATCTAGTGATTTAACACTATAATGAAGTAGTATACACAGAATAAAACACACATTGCAAAACCATTGAAATCGCATTTTTAGATTCGACCAATGCAAAGCTGTACAGTGTTTTAGGTGTAACAGGCTGTAAATCCTTGGAGTTCAAACATAATCCCCGGGTTATTTAAACACCCGATGTATGCATGTTAGGGTTAACATCACTTTAAATAAAAAAGACAAACATCTCTTTGCAGGGGCGGTTTTTAGCTTCTAACCAAAGCTGTTTCCCATTCATAGTGATACACATTCACATTTGGGACAATACCCAGTGAATCATTGCCTTAAGAAGCACCACTGGAGCGGTGGAGGGCTGTGTGTCTTGCCCAAGGACAAGATGATGCCAAAGAGATACTCAAAGTGGCGATGAGTAAAATTTCCAGCAAATAAAAAAGCCAACATCCGCTCTAAAATGTTTAGTTGTGACAGCAACCCGGACCAGTGATGTCATTGTTTCTGCTATTCAGCATGACTCAAAAGAATGTTTTCTGCCATGAGGATGCTTCTGCGATACGAGAACAAAACAATGTATAAATCTGTGCTCGACGATAGAAGCAGGAAAATAAAAGTCAGCAGAGCTTCGCTGTGGCTGAGGGGTCCTAAGGCTCTGCCTGTCCGATTACTCTTTTATGTAAGGGGAGTTGTTGCATAATAAAACGCTGAATCCCTGTGATTTACACAAGAGCTCTTCAGGTGTGACCTGCCGTGTTCAAAACTGCGCATCATCAGAAACAAAAGAGGAAGCGTCGCTCATTAAAAGTCAGACGCAGGGGCTGCTGGGAAGTGTGCAGCAGGAGTGCTCCAGGGTGTTGACTCACAAAGGAAAAACAAACAGCTGAGGTGGAACTGGCCGTAACAAAAGCACAGGAACACATCTTGCTAACATTATTTCTCTCCTGCATTACGGGTTGCGTCATAAGAGGCACGGGGGGGGGGGGGGGGGGGGGAAGACATTTGAAAGCAGGCAAGAAGGGATTTTTAGATTATTCAAAGATTATCTCTATTTTACTAAGTGTATGTGATACTGGCCTTGTCAGCTGCTGTGAGCCGGGTCCAGGGTTTATCTGCCCGCCTGTCGTAGTCCTGGGCATCGGACACGTCCACGTAGTCACTGAATCGGATGAGGATTTTGGCCTGTCTTAACTCCTCTACAGTGGGCCTTTGGCTTAGCTGGAAAGAGAGCAGAAAAAAAAAAAGTTGGACAAAAATAAAACTAGGTAGAGTAATTCTATTCACTGTCCCGGTAGGCAGCTTCACAGAATTTGCATTTAAATCCTTATAGAAAGATTACAAAAGAAGACTTGCCCATCCAGTATTCCTTAAGCAAATGTATCGTAGAGGAGTTATATCATACTGCACAGGTATTTAGGATTTTATCATAAATACGCTAATCTGACATCAAAGCAGACAAAGTGACCATATGCCCATCAAAGTGCCATATTGTCTAGTTAGGTTCGAAATAATTGATATATTGTCAGATATATATTTTAACTCGTGTTAAGGCCTCCAAAATTCCGTTTTGTTCAGACAATACTAATAATGTATTTAGGTCCTAAAAACAAAAGTTGGTAATGTATTTAAGTTCATAAATTGGTTAACATACTATAAATGCTTTATGTTCTAAAGATTCATATTTAGTTTGATGTACAGCACAGGGCGTTTTGCATAAAACATATTTTGTTTAACACAGCATCATTGACTGATGCACACAATAAAGTCCTCCGACAGCTGTTAGATTTTTGTTTTGAGCAGCATGTCTGCAGGTGAGCAGAAAGTGCTATAATCTAATTTAAAGTGATGGGAACATGCTCAACACCTCCCTGTGGGGTCCAAAGATTTGGCAGCCAACATGCTGAAGGGCCAAGGACAACAAGGACGTCAGCGTCTCCAGGGGAGGCCTGAGAGCTCGGTGCTGGGGCTCCAACGGACTAGATTCTTACTTCTCGCTACACATGAGTCACGGCCAAAGTGTTTGTTTATCCTGGCCCACAATTTACCCCCTCCAGAAGCTTAAACACCAAATGTGGCTTTGCACCTTTGGAGCTATTTTAGACTCACCTTTCGTGTCAGCCTTCGTTTTATCTCCCTTTTCTCCTCGATTTCCTCTTGCTCATTGCGAGCTGCAAAAACATGAGGGGATGAAGGTTATTCTGCAAACGGTAGACTGTATAAGAAATATTTAGAAATGACTGAAAGCGAAACCAACACAACATTTGCATAATGTTGCTCATTAGATTCAAACTAAATTGGATAATTTCCTAAAGCCTAAAATAGTTTCCATCATTGGCTGTTTAATGCTATTAGGAATGGGTACCAGGGGAGAATGATTGCTTTGTTCTTCTTAAGTTGTCCCAAGGCTTTTTGTTCCATGTTTCTGATCAAGTGATTAACCTATTGAAGAGTAAACATCTTTATTTTACAAGGGAAAGATTCAGATCACACTAAGTTTTTAGATCTTCCGTAAATGTATCCAGGTGTTGAAGTGAATTCAACGTCAGCTAATTTGCACATTTTGGCATTTTTTGTAAAACTGTTCACAGTTATGAAGTGACTTCAGCAGCTTAGAGATATATTAAGACACTCACGTTTGAGGATGTTCCTCTGCTCCAGCTCATCCGCTGTGGGTCTTTGACTCAAGCGCCTGGTTAGAGACATATATTAATGGTCAGCACATATTCACAGGCAAGAGGTCAGAGGGTCAAAATTAAATCAATATGAGATGCAAATGAACCTGCTTTACACTAAATATCATGTAATCATCAACTGTCAAAAGAATATATTTGCAGACACTGGTTCTTCTTCTGTGTAGTTCAGAGGAAGCTGCTCGCTTAATTTCTTTCTTCCCTCCATTTCGTCCTGTATTCAAATTTGACAGCAGCTCCTCGTAAGGTTATCTTATTCACATTTTGCCTCACTAAATGAGGGCTTCTCCAACTGTCAAGCCTGGGCTTTAGAGTAAAATGCAATGCGCAAGTCCCAAACTGAATAAAATAAACATTACCTCAAAGTTGACTTACAGTACAACTTATTTATGAGCAACAGAGTTCAATGTTGTTTTTCTCTTAGTTGAAAGATTTGCATCTTTTTTCAAGCTCTTGCCTCACGGCAGCTTGACAGGTGCACTTCCCAAAAATATAGTCGGCTCTGATCCCAAATCCCTCTTTTCTAACGGAATAACTGCATGATAATGCAGTGGTTAATGCAGGGAGGAAAAACACTGGTAAATGCCAGCTATTCCTGAAGACTCGGCTATTGTCGAATAAGGCTCTATGACACTGGACAACTGAAAGGTATTTTACACTAAAGACAGACAAAATAAAGTTACTAAACACATATACACAGACAAAGATACAGGGGCAAAAGGGCCAGATTCTGTCCGACTGTTTTAGCAACATCAGAGTAGATACATTTTGCACAGACTATCTCCAATTTTCATTTGATAAGTGAGGGGAATAACTAAGATATCCAAATGCAATTTCTGGAAGGTCGCTCCAAGTGCTCTCAACTGGGGACTCTTATTATAGCACTGTGTCAGGACCCTGCGGGAGCAGACCTAACGCTAGACACTGGATCGATGTTTCTCTGCTTATCGTTCATGATCTGACAGCGATCAGAAACTGCTCGGCCCGCAAGCTACTGTATGCTCAACAGTCTCTGTGCTCAGACCGACTTGTCTCATCTTCGGGAAAAGTCAAAACACTCACATCTCTGTTTAGAGCTTTCTGCCACTCTGAATGGTCGGAGAATTATCTCAGCATCACACCAGCAAATAGGCAGCTAGTGTAAACATTATATTATATATAAATATTTATGCTAAGCTAAGCCTCTCCCGGGTGTAGCTTCACATTTATCTGACGACAGCCAAATCCATCTTGTCATCAAAGTCTCAGAAAGAAAGCCAATGAAAATATTTCCCAAATGTCAAAATCCATCCATTAACAGACATAATCTAATTATTACATAAAGAACCTATAAAAGCAACCACCGTCTATTAGCTAAAAACGCACTAGTTCACTTTCTCAAGGATAATAGTTGCAATTCTTTCATTACAATACAAATAAGTTGAGGTCAGAGCGTCCCAGAATAGCATTATCATAATCAATTCTGAGTGGTCTGGCACAAGCAACAACATTACAGGACACAATGCCGTTAGCAAAAAGCATGAAATTAGGGATTGTGCATCAGATGACACGGTGCAAAGGACACTGTGACTGAGCTTTTTGGGAACAGGACCACTAAGCAGGCAGGCCTTCTGGGAACAAGCGCTGTGTTCCAATCACAGTGGGGAATAGAGAGTTGTGCCAATGTCTTTAGATAATACGCCATCCCTCACTTGCGACAATATTTCCCACATTTCATATCTTATTATACTATCCGGCTTTCATTTTTTACCCAAGCACTTGGCGGTCTTTTCCTTTCTCGACACATCATTACATCCCCTTCATTCAGAGAGGCAAGTGTTCAAAGAGCAGAGTGTAATGAAATGAGCCGTGCGATCCATTTGGGAAAAACATTATGTTGTTTGATCTGTTCAATTACTAGATTTATGATCTCAACATATGTATACAAAATCCTGTGATCTGTACGCACTGCAGCAGGCTAGTGTGTGTGTGTAAACTGCTGGTACGAAGTGGCTTGCGTGGTGCTGCTGTGTGGAGGAGTCGGGTGGAGATAGTTTGGCACATGCATCACCGTGGTGATTCAGTTAGCGAGGGAGGTAGTCAGTCAGGAAGAAAAAGATTAGTAGAGAGAGTGAGAGCGAGCAAGAGAGATGACAAGAAGAAAAAAGAGAGGGGGGGTGATGTAGTGCTGAAATTAGGTCAGCTCCATTTTCAGAGCCTCATTTTAACAAGATAAAGCATTTATCCTTATCGAATGTTAGGAAGGGAAATAATGAAAGGATATAAAAGCATTTCAAAAGAAAAAAGTCTCAGTTCCAACAGCCCGGATATTGGGTCATCGACGGCACAGAGAAAGACAAAATGCTCCGTTTGGTTGAATAGTGTCAGTGCTTTTTCTAGAAATAATCGTTGAGTTTGCTACAGCAACATCAATCAGGTTTCACCGAAAATACCTGACACATGAATTAGGCATGTTTGTGTACATGTTTAAAGATGCATCTGTGCACTCACCTTTTGAGTTTGGTGCCTATCTGCTGCCTAGACTCTAGTCTTTCCTCGTCTGTCTGCATGGGCAGGATGTTTTTCTCCTCAAGCTCTCTTTTTGAAGGACGGTTACTCAGCTTGATGGCCAAAGAGTCTTTCCTTAGCACCTTCTGAGCCAGGGAACCTAAACCCAAACACCATGGTTAAACAAGAGTAAAGCATTAACCAAACTGCTCTCTTCCTGTTTTCATCATTGTGCCGTTTCTCTACATTTTGTAAAACGTTTGCAAAGACAAATATAGAATACTGCTCCACTCTGAGCGTGGTCTAAACTACAGTATGTGGATATGACATACTTATGGGTACTTTCAGATGCTTTGTATAATACAATAAATGTTTGATTAGAATATTACTTTCCAAAGTGTCCTGTACCTTTAAGTGTAACTCATATTCCCAATACCCATTTAAGTCACACTTCAGTGGTTTTGCTGAGAGGTTGAAAGTGTTTCCATGTGGGACAGCAGGATACACTTCTGTGAACCTTATATGTTGGCTCTCCTTTGAAGGTCAAACATCTGAGATCCAGAAGCCTTGAGGTGAAGCTAGCAGTACTGTCCATCAGGATTATTCAGGCAAATATGGCATCTTATATGTAAACACGAGTTATCCTTACCATAAATAAACCGATACTGAGTCAGTCAGATTTAATGACCCTCTTTATATCTGAAGTGTTTTGCTATGAACGCAATTACATTTAACATAAAACACTCGTGGTAATTGATGCCCCTCACTTGTAAATATTGTGTCGTCATCTTCGTCGTCATCCTCATCATCATCCTCCTCATCGTCCTCGTCCTTATACATGCTAGGCAGATCTTCATAGTCACACTCGTTGGGCATGTTCTCCTTGTCATCCTCGTAGTCGATGATCACAGACGGCACTTCTCTCCGGTCCAGGGGAACACAATGACCAACGCCGTGCAATGCAGAGCTGGTGGAGAGAAAGGGAGGTGGTGTTTATGGGCGTTCAAATAATGGATCAAACTTATGCCATGACATTTGGCCCTGCTATTAGGATGAACCTGCCCATCCCCTCAACAGTGCAGGAAAATCCAGTTCACACGTGAAACGTCCTACATCAAGCTTAGCTCTATGTTGTCTTTTTTACAATATGGTTTGTGATATATAGCATTATTGAAACAATATCCCTCACAAACCTTCTCAATCCGGGAAACAAAGTGATTTAAAACAATAAAAGGGCTTCTGGTCCATGATAGCTTAGTGGGTTTTTAATCCAAGTATATAGAGAGAGGATATGTATAACTCCATCTGAATGAAACTGGAGTACAAAGAGCCTGAATACAGACCAAGTACAATTCTCTGCAGTCCTACGCAATGCCATGCAATCCCCGAACTACACAGAAAACTGATTATACAACTTGTATAATTCAAAACAAGGGTGACAGAAATAAACATGCAGGAGCCATCAAGTGCTAACAGGTTGCATATTTGACAGATTGATAAGGCGAAATCTAGTTGGAGCTACTTATGAAGTAGCCATTATTACGTAAACCATTTTCTAGCTTTCAGACTAATTGTGAGCAATGTCGAGACCATTACTTCCTTATCCCTGCCGAGATGGCTTTGGAGAAAAATAAATCCTAATGTAAAAGATTACATCATGTTCAATCCGCTACCATGTCCCTTTCTCCAAACAAGAAGAAATGCAGTTTTGTAAAGAGCAGCTGGTCATGTTATGTCAGGCCCACTGCTGGAGGGACGCCTACTCCATGAGCCAGTGCCCACACATACACACATTTACTTCAAAAATAGGCCACGCTGCCCTGTGAGGCCAGTACACCAGCTCTACATTGCAGGACGTGACCTCAATAACACCAGGATGTATTTGAGAGTAGCGGCCAAGTCGACACAAAAATAAACCAAATAAACAGGACACTCAGGCTAATTATAATGTTTTTTCAGTAATTAGTCTGATTAGTGCTGCTTTGGTGACAGCTTTTGCTAAAGAAGAGATTAATTATCCACAGTCTTAATCAAATGAAGGACAATTATTATTTATAAAAAAGGAAACGTGTTGTGAGCGGCACCCCTATGGCCAATCAGTAGGAAGCTACTTCCATTTGGAGTACATTTCAAATTCCAGCATGAAACATTGCATGTATTAAACAGAGTTTTGTCAAACTTCAAACCAGATGTTATCAAGGAGGTACAGACTGAAACACAAATAGATGCTGATCCATAATCCCTCCCTCCTGGAGCACAATCAGATGTAATGTCCTGAGCACTGCTGTCTACTAACCTTTCAAACCTCTGCATGGAGAGTGCCAGGGTTTTATTGAGCTCCTCGATGATCCGGCTGGGCGCGTGCAAGCTGCCGTACTGAAGCCGAAACGGGTGACCCCGGCTCTGATGAAGACTGGAGAGAGCCGCCAGCTGAGAGGGCAGCAAGGGCCCGTGGTGGTGGGGCATGCCCTGGGGGGGGCCGCACTTTTGGGACATAGAGCAGAGGGGATTGGGCGACGGAGACGGGGAGTTGGAGTCCATCCCCCCTTGAGGCACACATATCATCACTTTCTTTGGAGGCAGGGGTGGAGAGTGCTTTCCCCCACGCATACAGGTCAACTTCATTGGCTGGCAAGAATCTATAAAGACAAAAAAAAATAATCAGGATGGACAGAATCATTAATTATAAAGTCACCCATTATGCAAAATCCACTTTTCCATGTCTTTTATACATCAACATGTGTCCCCTCTGTGTGAAGAGATTCTGAAAGTTTCAGGAAAAAAGATTCTCTCTCTTTTTGTCCTGATCCATTTATATACCTATTAAACCTGTCTGAAAATGAGCTGATCAGATTTTGGCCACTTAATGATGTCATAACGATTTTTTGGCTTGTGTAACCATTAGCCAATCACCAACCAAGGTAACCCCGCCCCCCACCCCCACCTTATCACCTGAATCTCCCCCTAGAGCACCATTGTGTTCTTTTTAACCAAATATCTCTCAGAAGGGCGTGGGGAGTGGCTCCTTATTTTCATCTAAAGTAACAGACAGAGAATCAGCACTTTGGAAAGAGGGCTGAAAACAGAGGGGGTTATGGGATGCTACAATGATCTGTTTGGTGTTTTGAGCCAAACACTTCAGAGACATGTTTTGTATATATCTAAGACCTATAATATATTGATGAACAACAGTATAATAGGGGACCTTTAACTTTTATACTGGGTTAACTGGTATTATATGGCTTTCACTACACTTTGTTGTTGTTGGACCCCCCCAAAGCCCCTTCCCCCTCCTCCCTTCTGTCAAGCGACTTTGTTAACCACTTTGAAAAAAAGGTTTATGATATTCGCTCTTCTTTTTCTGACTCACCTTTACTCACCACTGGGTCACCAGACCCTCCTTCCACCCACACACTAACCTCCTTTTCCCCTCTCTCTCCAAGTGAGGTTCTTACCCTCATTACCTCTGCCCGCCCTACCACCTGTCCTCTGGACCCTATCCCTTCAAACCTCCTTCAGACTATCGCTCCTGATATTCTACCGTTTCTCACCCATTTCATCAACACTTCTCTAACTTCTGGTCACTTTTCAAACAGTCTCAAGGAGGCAAGAGTAAACCCTCTCCTAAAGAAACCCACTCTCAACCCGTCTGATGTTATAAACTACAGGCCTGTCTCTCTCCTCCCGTTCCTGTCTAAAACACTTGAACGCGCTGTCTTTAAACAACTCTCCTGTTATCTCCATCAGAACAACCTTCTGGATCCGCACCAGTCTGGTTTCAAGGCAGGTCACTCCACAGAAACTGCCCTCCTTGCCGTCACTGAGGAACTGCACACTGCTAAAGCAGCCTCCCTCTCCTCTGTCATTATCCTTTTGGACCTGTCTGCTGCATTCGACACGGTGAATCATCAGATCCTCCTTCGCACTCTCCAAGAACTTGGAGTTTCAGGCTCTTCACTTTCCCTCATCACCTCATACCTCAAAGACCACACCTACAGGGTTACTTGGAGAGGGTCGGAGTCCGACCCTTGTCAATTAACTACAGGGGTCCCTCAGGGCTCTGTTCTCGGTCCCCTCCTCTTCTCCTTGTACACAAACTCCCTCGGATCTGTCATTAGCCCGCATGGTTTTTCATACCACTGCTACGCTGACGACACCCAATTAATTCTGTCCTTTCCCTGCTCAGAGACCCAGGTCGTCGCACGCATCTCTGCTTGTCTAGCTGACATCTCTCAGTGGATGTCTGCTCATCACCTCAAGCTCAACCTTGACAAGACTGAACTGCTTTTCCTTCCGGGAAAAGATTGTCCCACTCTTGACCTGACTATCAACATCGGCACCTCTGTTGTTTCCCCGACTCAGACTGCAAGGAATCTGGGTGTGATCCTAGATAACAACCTGTCCTTCACTGCAAACATCGCTGCTACAACCCGCTGCTGCAGATACACGCTTTACAACATCAGGAGGATACGTCCCCAGCTGACCCAGAAAGCCACGCAGGTTCTGGTCCAGGCTCTCGTCATCTCACGCCTAGACTACTGCAACTCCCTCCTGGCTGGTCTACCTGCATCTGCCATCCGACCTCTGCAGCTCATCCAGAATGCAGCGGCTCGTCTGGTCTTCAACCTTCCTAAATTCTCCCACCACGCCGCTCCTCCGCTCCCTCCACTGGCTTCCGGTAACTGCTAGAATCCACTTCAAGACAATAGTACTTGCGTACCATGCTGCGAATGGATCTGGCCCTTCCTACATCCAGGACATGGTTAAACCGTACACCCCAGCACGTGCACTCCGCTCTGCATCAACCAAACGGCTCGCTGCACCCTCGCTGCGAAGGGGACCCAAGTTCCCATCAGCAAAAACACGTGGGTTTGCTATCCTGGCTCCAAAATGGTGGAATGAGCTCCCCATTGACATCAGGACAGCAGATAGCTTACACACCTTCCGGCGCAGACTGAAAACTCATCTCTTTCGACTCCACTTCGAGCAATAGAACTATTAACAAAGCACTTCTATACTAATAAAGGACTGGCTTATCTAAAGCCGGTTGAGTAGCACTTGAAATGTTTTTGCTCTATGAAACCTGATGTACTTTTATGATTCTGTTTTCTTCAAGTTTGTATTTTGTTGGTCGAACGCACTTATTGTACGTCGCTTTGGATAAAAGCGTCAGCTAAATGCAATGTAATGTAATGTAATGTTGTAGCAGACAGATAAACAGAGCTCATGGTCAATCAGACATGGCTTAGACTTCAGGGCAGAACAGCAGGAATTAGGCCAGGGTAATGCTACTTCACTCTGACTGACAGTTTGGCAATGACAGAGACAGCCCATCTGACCTGACCACAGGGGAATTGAATGAGACTACTATAATCCTGTGCTCCATGTGTGGCAACGCAGGTAGGGTTTGAAGCAACAGAAGGCGGAGCTCATTTGTCAAAACAAGAACAATAATATATAGTAATATCAGAGCCGGCCCGACCCATTAAGCGACATAAGCGGCCGCTTAGGGCCCCGCAGCCACTAAGGGGCCCCCTAGCAACAAAAAAAAATCTCAGTACACCGTCGCTGTGATAAGTATGTTTAATTAATTGTGTTAATATGCCTAGATTGCCTACACTCAAAGTCATGTATTACATTATTGAGTCAATAATATAATACATTTTTACCTGAACCTCATCATGACACAAGAGAGGACGGCAGGATTGTAATTTCCCGTGTTCAGTGAATGCAACAGAGGCAAGACACCAGACCAACCAGAGAGTTGAATGGAAATAAATATCCGTCTTATTGGATGACAGGTACCTATCCTGTGAGCTGTGACAATGTTTAAAATAAACTGTCAGTCGGACTCAGAGTTTTTGAAGATGGACATAAGAAAACATTTTCTTAAAAAAGACGACAATTCTCAAGTGGTGGCTCACACAACAACCCCAGAGCCACCACGTGAGCCAGGTAAACAAGGTATGTAAATGTCAGTAAACTTCCAAGTTATGCGAACATGTAAGCAAAGCATAAATTACAGCTACGTTGATGTTACTTTGAATCGCGGGGGTAAGCTAAACCGTTAGCAAGTAGCTATAGCTAGCCAGATATATTAAATAAACACTTTGTCATACAATCTAAATGTAATGTTTTTTAGCATTACCTGGTGATTTCAAAGAAAGCTCTCTGGAAAATGTTGACTACTGTTCGACATGAAGCTAGAAGCTACCTTACAGTACACAGTTGATCCTGAGTCCTGTCAGTTAAAGTGTTTCATAGTTAGCTTAGCTAAGCATCAACCTAGCACTGAAATATATGGATGTTATGTGACAGTATTTCTGAGAAAAAGTCAGCTGAAATGGTGGCATGCCACTGCTTTACGTGCTGACAGCATGTTTGAACGTATTTGCAGCAGTAAATGTGGCTGTTTGGCCACTGACGTTGCCATAACAACACCTGAATTTAAATGTGCAACCTCTTTTTGTGACAGATTTTTGCAAGAAATTATAATTCTTCTGAATGATATTCCTATTGACAGCTAGTTTCTATGTGAACATTATGAGATGGACAGCCAGAGAGAATAAATGAAAAACAGTTATGAAATACTATATGACAACAAGAATACAGTTTAAGTGATTTGTAAAATATCCATAAATAAAAATCTGTGTACAGTTCAGTTTCAAATGGGTGTTGAGAGATGTATCCATATATCTCTTAATTTTGCTCTCAAAGTGCACCAGATTGATGCTTTTAACTTCATTATTTAAAAAAAAATCTTCCCCGGGGAGCATGCTCCCGGACCCCCTAGAGGAGGTTAGGTCCACAGCTTTTACATGCTTATTTATACAATATGTGTGCTTATGCTAACATCATAAGACAAAAGTTGGTTCTGTGTTGTGTGTGGGGAGAACGCGCTAGAGTGAGGGGGGCCCCCAAGCCAAAGCTCGCTTAGGGTCCCCAAAAGTCTAGGGCCGGCCCTGGTAATACTTCAAGTCGGGTGCAACAAATACTAGAAGAAGGGAAATCAAGTAAGAATACTGACCTGTGCTATGTTTCGGGATTCTAGAGAAAGGCTTTGGAGGGAGAGCAGGAGGCTTTTTGTGGTACAGCGGCGGCTTGGCAGGTTTATCCTGAAGGTCATTCGAGTAGGTGAAAGATTTGTTGGAGGGTAGAACCATGGATGACTTAATTGAGGACTCCTGAGTGCAGATTCCACCGTCCATCGAGGATCGGAACTCAACGGTTGCTAAACACAACAAAGGGAAAGTGTGACGAGCAGTGAAAACATCACAACTAAGACAGAGAGAAGTCTGTTCAAACAAAGTTTAAAAATGAACTTAGAGTGGTGAGTGTTGAGACAATGAGGAGTGGATTCAGAAAGCTATGACTGTTTAACAACCCATGAGCTTTTTATCGACACACAGCAGACAAAGGAAGAGCCAAGAAGTTTGACAGAACTTTTTCTTTTTAATTCCTTACAGCACTGAGCCATTTGATGTTTTTTGCATGATCACATTTTAAGGCTGACAATGCAATTCACGATGGCACTTACATTTTCTGACAAACAATGCATTTGAATTCAGAGCAGTCTATCCCGTTCCTAAATCTTGACTCAACAGCCTTTCAAACAAAAACCATGAGAATGCTAACTTCTGTATGATTTGGGGAGACAGGCAAGTCTCTGGCCATTCAGAAAGCTTTAAAAAAGGGAGTTTTTGCCCTTTTTACTACCATTATCTCAAATTCAAGTCACAAGTCATTCTTGTAACCAGCTTTCAAACAGAAAGACCTGCAGAAGGCCATCGTTTTTTTAAACATTCTTATGAGGAAAAGTTTGAAAGTATCTTAAAATCCAGCCATTGAGCAGGCAGACTCTGAAACATTTAGCTCTAAACTAGGCTAGTGATAGTGTTTGGCTGACGTGTGCCACATTTAATCCAGGAACAACGAGTGCGAGACAAAGACAGCAACCAGTTAAAGCCGATTACAATCCAGCAGCCAATCACATGAAAGGTTGACACAATTCTGCCAACGGGAGATCTATTTTATTATAATTATATTTTTGCCCTTGGATCCATTTCTATTTTGAGCGCACCAAAGTGACATTTTTAAAACAAAGTGAAATGTGTGGTATATCTATATACATCAAAGGTATGTCAGAGCTAACTGTAACCGTAACTGCTTTCATAGATAGAGTAACCGTTTGCTTTGCATGCATAAAAATAACCACTGCTCATTTATCAAGCTATGAACACAAGCTTTTTCATTATGGAAACTAGATTGTCACTGGGCAGGAGAATAGTGCACACCTGGCCTAATTAATATGCATCGTAATGAGAGGCACAGTCATTTTGCAAAAATAGGGGAGGAAAATATTCAGTTTATAGGTTTTTTTGTAGGAACTGAGCAAGACAGTTTCTGTAAACTTACGGCACACATGAGCCAAGTAGACAAGCATTTCATAAATATTAAGTTACTTTTTATAATTGTATTTATTGAGTTTGAAAATATACATTAGATTTCTTTTAATTAAAAAGAAAATAATTGAAACAGTAAAATATGAAAAAAGGCCCCAAACGTCCTAATTTTCTCTTTTCCCTTTGTGAGTTTAGAGTCAATGTGCGTTCTCAGCAGAACTAACTTTATTTGTTATGTCCTGAGAAATGGAGCCCCCCGCTGTCAGGCTCAAATAAACTCTGCAGCTATATGCACATATGAAGTGTCACATCTAATCAAGATCAAAGAGTTTATGAAACCCAACAAAATGTCTATAATGAAAGATTATATCTCAATGCCCCATCCAAATTCTGAAAAGACCACTTCAGAGACTACTGATTAATGAGAAGATGAACAACTGATGACCATTTTTGCAGTGCCCACTTAAAACTAAGAGTTTGGAGCTCGGTTGCATAAAACTGTAACCGTATAATATCCGCTCACCTTTTTCAAAGATCTCTTTCAGCACTCCTCTCTTGATCAACTCATCTCTGCTCTGTCGCATTGACATCTTCCTTTCCAAAGCTGTGGAGAAAAAGGATGATTATGGTTTCATGTTTTTCATATTAGTCAAAAAAACACTAAATGAAAAGCGCAAATGTAACCATGCATTAGTCTCAGGCACAATCCTTTTGTTCCTTCTAAAGACATACACATGTTAAAGAGTTCCCAAATGTATAGTTTTATATTTAAAAATATTACTGTAGATCTAAGTATACATTATTCAAGTTAGTAGGGGGACTGTTTTCTTGGGACTGTTTTTCCACTGTGGAATAATATACCTGTGGTGGGCTCCGGAATATTTATGGCAGCAGAATAAGGAAGGGGGTATGTTTTTTGTATAGTTTTTGGCAAACTATAGATAGAAAGGTCTATCAGGCTTTGGTTACACAGGGGATAGGAGGATCAATTCATTTATGGATTTTGTTATGTGATTTAACAATAAGGCAAAAGATAATATGCACTACCACCAAATGTATCCTTTAGGTAAATGCATTTGAATACTGTATCCCTAAGAGTATTGGTCTTGCTGTACATGGATGTGTAGTGAATAGTGATACATCTTGCAATCTTTTATAATATAAAAAGATTCCAAGCAATTTAATCGGAGAACAAATCCTGGAACTTGGTGTCAAGATAATCTGTTACTTTTCTGTCCACATGCAGCTAAAAAAACCTTAATTGACTATGATTTCGAAAAGAGATAAAGGTTGGAGGAGATATTCCTACACCACTTCTCATTGTAATTAATTATGCACAAGATAATAGCTACAGCTTCTATTTTTAGGCTTCAAAAGTTGAGGCACTTAACATCTTCTATCAATAGGTGGAACAAAAGCGGTAACAAATTATGTTAGCTAATTCAGATTCTACCCCTGCATAAAAACTAATTAAGGATGTGAAGCGGGGTTCAGCAACAACACTCGAGCACACTGCGCAGGAATCTCCCTGCAGGCATCTGTAGCTCCTGCTTAAAAAGAAAGATCATAGATTGTGCCATGCGGGCTTTACATGACACAGAAGTCTTGACCAAGCTCGATCAGAGGGTGGTGTGTTGCATGCTAATACATCCTCAGAGTGGATTCATGAAAAGACTGACAGCTTGACCTCTCTTTGCCTTGCCCCTCAGTCACAACACAGTGGATTAAAACAACTGCTGAGAGTCCAAAATTAACAAACACAAATCAGAATCAAACAAATGTCAGAGAGGCAGAACTGCTGGGCAGAAATTAGAATCCTCAGTGTTAAAAAATACCCGAGCAGAGGGAGTTAGCACCAAACAGTATGCTCCATTATGAATTCCTCAAGGATACCAGATGTTCAATATCACTCAATACTTCAAAAGTTTTTGAAGAGAAGCCCATTTGAGATCAGCTCCAAGCAATAAATTAGTTAAGCAGCAGAGCAAGCATTTTAAAGCAGAATACGTGACCAAAATATTACCAATACAGAGAATGCTCTCCACTGGAGCCTTAGGACGTGTTAAATTGAAAAGTGTGAAATGAAAGGAAAATGTGCCATTTATATTGTCTACTTGTGATGCTAGTGCTGACCGGTCCATCTAAAAAAGGGATTTTCTTTCACCCAGATGCAGCAAATGTAACATTAGGTCAGGTCAAAGTGATAAAACATAAATGTACTAACGAGAAGGTGACACAAAATAGAGGAATATTTCTAACGGAGTGAAAGCAACTAGAATGTTTTCCACAAAGCACCAGAGGCAACACACAGTTCACTTCTTTGTAACTGTGCATTCTCAAACTTCATTAAAAAAGGTACAACAGTTCAGAAAGTGGAGTGGCTTCTATTAATAATGTTTGCCTGTCGAGCAGTACCTGGCTAATGACAAAAGTAAACCTTGTAGTACTCTGAAAGTTTATAACAAGTTTTCATCACACTGTTCTATTAAAATAAGAAGCAACAACTGTGCTTTTTAATATAAGTCTCAATATTATACTAGTGAAACTTTATACAGGATGTGCATCATTAAAAACAAAAAGCAAATGTTATACAATACTATGTTCAGCCTCTTCATTCCAATTAAATCCTTCAATAACACTTTATTCCAGAACAAAATATCTTGCATGAAGTCAGCTTCAATAATACTTTAACACCTATGCTATGGGTTACAAAAAAAAAAGAAACAAATCAATAACCATTTTTTGGGTGACAGAACCAATCAAAATGACAAATCTGTTTAAAAACATCAGCATCGACTCTTTGCCAGTGTGGGAAACCCGAGGCTCGAGGTTGATGCTTGACCGGCGGTGCTGTGATATGTTCAGGGATTATAGTGTTGTTTTATCCAAAATGAAAAGTAATTACTCAAAGCTTTATGACATAACTGCTCTGCAATTGGATGTGCACAGTTACATAATGCCATTAACTCAAAAGCCTTTTTAAGGATGAGTCTTCAGATGGACAGCTTTCGTGTGCTCATAAAACAAAAGATAGAAGAAATTGTTGAAATGGACACCTCAGTTGGTCGAGTCTGGCGTTAAAACACTGGCTGCTTTTGTTAAAAACATATTGTTTAATATTTTATGAATCCATTAATAGTGTGCAATAAGTGGAATTTCATGTTCATTTCATCATGAAGGTCCTGTGAGAGCAATAACAAAAAAAAGAAATTCAGTGTGGAAAAAAACTGCCACTTGCAACAGATAGTCAGAATATTAGTGTGAATCTGATCATGAATAGGATTGTCAGGGGACTCGAATCCACTGTGAACTTGTAATTTGATTTTTTATACAGACGAGGTAGACTAATTGAAGTGGGCAGCAAACTGCAAGTACAAAAAAGTAGAAACTGTCGATTGAACATCAACCAAGTTCCATGTTGGACAGTCGACCGTGGCCCAAGTGCTGTCCAACAGCCACTCAATCTGTACCAAGATGAGAAGATTAGACGCTCATCCGGGAGCCTCAGCTGACAGCATATTAAATGAAACTGGCATATCCGAGTACAGCCATATTGATCTGAGAACACTTCTCTTAGTTTTAAGAGAAAAAAATATTCCACGGCGAAGTGACCCAGATAGTCAGAACACATCCTACCAACCCTGAGGCGCAGTAGCTCAAAGTAAAGGCTTTTACTGAAGCAATTCGCTCAGCCTCAGCCTGACAAAAACTGTATAAAAACTTTCATGAAGTATTTTATCAATGAGAAGCTTATTTAAGGTCAACACTTCAGGAACTTGATGCTGGCTTAATGCAACCATTATTTATAAAAAAGTATACAGCATTGTGGCATTTTCCTCTTCATACAGTAGATATAGTAGTATTAAGATTTCCTTTTTTAAATATGCCAACACAACAGCAAACATTGTGATATGTGGTATGTTTATGTGGAAATACTTACTAATTGGATCAGAAATACAAAATGAAGATAACATCCCACTACCTCATGTATGTTCTTTTGATGAATCTCTGCCCAGTGAAATCTCTGTGATACAAACTAGATGTGAGTATCTAGTGAGCATGATAAGACCGCATGATAAGACTTCCCACTGTCAGGCCCTCCTTCCTTCCTTCCTGAGGTGAAGAGTACAGGCTCCCAGAGCTAGCCTTCATCTGCTTAATATCACAACACATTCATAATCCTCTACTGTGCTCAGTGTCCAATTATCAGCGACAACATCTGCATGCCCAGTGGCTGCTCTGCTACCCACTGACACAGGAAACGTAATCAACAGTATAGGGCGACAGACGTGACATTGATATTGACTATTCAGTGCACTTTGTCTTTAATGAGATACATGTAGAGTGCTCACTTGCATAAAGCACATTTTCCCCTATGTAGAACAAGGCTGAAAGTATTGGTACAGTAAGTATAGGTGATAATAATAATAATGAGTCCTCATTTTTCTTATGTCAACTAAATGAATAGGATCATAATTGTATTGTTGACGAATTAAATGATGGCAGATGCAAAGAGGCAGTGTGCTTCCTCCATTTTAAAAACATAAATAAAATAAAAAGGGGCTAATGGTCAACCAAAGTATTTTATCCAAATCCAGTTTGACCTTCATTTTTTTTAAATCTGATCTAAGATGTATTTAGATAACCTAACTGCTCTGAATCCACTCCACTCTGTTGAGTGAGCTATTCATGCACCAGTGGAATCAGTGCCGTTCCCTGGATGGAATATATATATATATATATATATACACTTTGGCAGAAAACACAGCACGCGTATATCATTTGAGAAGGTGAACATGATCATGTGCACCAGCACATATTATCCTAGATATTGAAAATACTGTAAATATAATAAAATAAAAAAGACAGACAGTTTTTAAAAATATGTTTTGTAAAAATGGGCTCAATAGCCTTAATTTAATAAATTGTCCGTGGAAATAGTAAACGTCTGTCATTAAAGCAGGTCCATCACTACTAGTGACCCCTTTCAGGTTACACAGTTGTAGATATTTGAGACATTGTTTATTTGACAGCATTTATTCCTGCAGGTTGAAATCCACATGTATGCACCATGTGTTGACGGCTGCAGTTTAAAAATCCCTGCACCACCTCCTGTCATTTAAATTTACTGCACTGGCTCACTCTTCTGTGACTTCTATACTTCCACTGCCGCCTTCAGGGGTGCAGATCACATTTCCCTTGTTTGGGGCTTTGAGAGTCAGGTCAATACTTCTTGCTGAAATTGAAGTGACAGTGTGTGCGCAGATGTTTTGGCGTCACAGCGACTAAAGAACCTGCCTGAGCATTGGGGCTTCTTTCAACAATGCACTTTGCCTAAGCTTTTTTTTTTTTTAAACTGAAATTCCACTTAGTCGCTCCAGTGAGATATACTGGTGGGTTATAATCCACCATCATGCTGAAATCAAAAACGCTTTAATCAAACTATGGCAGCAAAATAATGATGTGGAGACAGCCGTTTTATGCATACAAAACAAGTGGAAGACAAAAGTTATGAAGAGAGCTCTATCACTCAACTCCACTGTGCATTAACACCATTGTAGGAGAAAAAAGGCCTTTTTGTTTGCTCAGATCTTCATTGTTGTCCTCCACCGCAACAGGGGAGATGCTGTTATAATAGACGGTGGCTCAGTGGACCAATGAACAGAAAATATCTACATGATTGTTTCATGAGTAGACGCTACTAAAATACAGCAAAATAGGAAAGTCAAGCCTCTAAAGCAAATATATATTTTGTAATGTATTTTTGGGGTTTCGCTAAAAACACCACATTTTCAAGAGAAAATATAGCCAGGCGAATCATGTTAGGGCAGGAACAGACTACAGCCAAACATGTTGAGAACAGGAACAGCCAAATCCTTGCTGAAAGGTAATACCTACCAAAAAGTCAAATACATTTGTAGTGCTTGTGAGACTGATTCATCCAGGAAATTAACACCTGAAATACGCCAATTTAATATTACTTAATCAAAGCATTTTTTTCCAGGTAGGCCTGGATACAAGTCTGTGCAGTTGCTCATATTCTAGACAAGCAAGAGGTTAATATTCATGATGTTGCAGCCAAGGAAAATAACTACAGCCACATCTGAACAGAGCATGTCCTTCACTTACCCCTGACAATACTGGCCTGTAAGATGAAAGGAACTCCAAAGAGACCTAACAACACGAAACCCCAACGCTGCACTTTTGCTGAATCAATTTGCCGCTTTTTAAATAACCCCGGAGACTGAAACCTAATACTTTTTGCTAAAGAATATACAGTGAATAACCTTCCCATTACCAGACAGGGTAGAAAACAATATGGTTGTTTATGGTGAACCTGGCAACTGTTTTTGTGCTTATATTAACATAGTATTGAGGAAAAAAAGTCACGTACCAGCAGATGTCTGCTTGAACTTGTCACTCTTCTTCTTCCTCCATTTCCAGGGCTTGAGGAGGCGTCCCAGAGTAGCAAATTTGCTCCGACGACGGATGGGTGGAGTGTGGGTGCCAGACTCAGAACGCATGGCTGCCAGCCTCTCTACTTCCTCGGCTGTAAGGGAATTTAAAAAAATAAAAACAGGGTATAGTTTAGGTGAGAATGCAGAGGAGGTGATATTCCAGTAGTAATGCAGGAGAGCTAGAAGTGAATGCAGCAGACAATTTTGCTCACAAAGAACCAAGCATTACAAATCTGTGCCAAGTAGCCTGCTGAATTCTTCTATCTGGATGAGGTTGAGAGAGTAAAAACAAACCTGCACACCAGATAGTATTAGGCAGGATACGCTCCCAGTCAAAACAGTTCACATTTGAGTGGCTGTCATTAGCTTGCCAAGACACACCAACAGTCTGATAAGCACCTCATTAAGTGGAAATCTTTCAACTCCTCATCAAATATTCACAAGGCCCAGCCCGTTAGACTTCGAAATACTGTTGCATATCCTAGGCCAGGAATGTTAAGTATTTTATTTTAACACGTACTACTAAATGAGAAAACGAATGCATGTTACATTTGCAAAATGGTGCAATCGAGGACTACAAAAAAAACACTAACCAAACACAAGGGAGGAAAGAGGTTTTCAAACTCAAATCTGATATAACACACACATTTAAATAGTCTTCTTTATAAACAGCACTCACAGAATCATACAAATGTTTCAGATTTATAAATATTATTTAATGACTTTGCTTTCTAGGCAGCCCTTCAATTCCTCACTGTATACAATGAATATTCAAGAGATGTGATACTTGCTTTGGTAATCCATCATGTCTGCTTTTATTTTCTGATATACAGCCTAATTTGCAATGATATCATAGTCCTGCATTGCCAGACGTCAACATTTCAGGCATTGGAGAGCAACAATAGGTTGTAAAACAATGAAAGCTGACCATTCACATACATTTGACAGGTTCGAGTCTAAGGAGAATGAATGGACACACATTTAAAAAAATTGGGAAAACTATTCAGAAACAGAAATGGCCTAGTTTTCAACAGACTGAGTTCTGGATGCATGATGACCTCCAGCACAGCATGTTGTATCAGTTGTCAGTGGCACTACATTGCGTCAGATCATCACCCGTGACATGCTGTCAATAATTACATCACATCACAATGTTTGCCAACATGGACATATCATTTTGCAGCCTAGTCACCTCCTAAATGGGACAGCAGGATAAATAATGTGACAGTAATGCAGTCCCACGAAACATCAATGAAATGCTCCGGAGCCTCAGAAGCAACCATCTTAGCCATCCTGTCACCACACGACTCTATAAATAGATCTACAGTCGATGCTAATTGAAACCAGTAGAGATTCAAATGACTTCTTTAGGGGTCCAAAAGCTAGATAAAGACAGGAAGAAAATAGAAGCAGAGTAACCTCCAACTGCAAAGTACCAACCATCTTTATGTACTGTGTGACAGACACAAAGATGACACACTTTTATTCACTTCAATAACAGATATCTTTACCATCCTAACATCAGGTGATCATTTCATGACAACAGGCACACACCAGCCCACATTCACCATGTTGTACATAGCCTAGATTCTCCACTACACAACACACTGATGTGGCTGCTTTTAATTAAAAACACTTGTTTGCATACCAAGATGGATCATTGATGATGTAATGACACTGAACTGGAAATGGCCTTGTGTAAACAGCTTGCACAGTTTCATGACATTTTAATGGCATCAATAGGCTAGAAAAGCTACATTGATATCATTTATCTTATGACTTAAGGAGACCACAAAATACAGAAAATGTTATCATGCAAACCAACAAATTGAACTCAGAGCATTAATAAGTTCTGATCCAGTTAAAGGCAGCTTCAACAACAGCAACAGTGACTCACAGTAGAAATGTATGTACTCAAGTAACTAGAGAATATTATAACAAGGAGGCGCAACGCATATTGAACGATGGAGATCAGAGGCATGGCCATCGCCAGACTGAGGGAAAATAGGCTACATGCTGGATGGTAGTACCGCAGGGCTACTATGGGCGAAACCACACAAGACTCCAGAGCTACTCACCGTCCTGTGTGTCGTTCCCGCGGCTGCAATTGCTGCAAATGTGCTTTATCTCTTTCCCGAGTGACAGTGGATCGTAAAGGGCATGTTGTTGTTGTTGTTGTGGTGCGGATGCTGGCCGTTGCCCTTTCTTGTTGCTGAGAGGACATTATTTTGACCAGGCTAAACGCTTTTTTCTTAGGTTTCTGCACCGCTACGGGCGTTTCTCGGCAGCCCGTGGTAAGCCAAGTGCCGTGCATGATGGTGGGTGCAGGATCCACCGTCGGGTAATGGACCGTCCTAAACATGGCGAAAACGGACCAGTGCGCTTTGATTACGACGGTGTGGATTTAAATTAAAGGGCCATTAATTTAGTCCTACCTGACCTAGTGTAAAGAAGCAGCTTCCATCGAGCCCAAATCAGCCACTTCTCCCTGTTGAATCCCCCACACCTTTACCTGAGATCACAGTAATGTGCAGCTGGCCTACTTGGGTGCGCAATGCAAAAGTAGCTACAGCTGCTGCTGAGAAAAAAAACACTGCTGCCAGATCCAAGTGGGCTAATAATAAAAAAAAGAGACTGAGTAGTGAATGGCAGTGACCACCTCTCCCTCCCAGAGCTGCAGACTGCAGTCGGTTGTAGCTAATCCACGATTAGAGGAGCTGAGCAGTGAGCGTTTGTGATTGGCTGCACCATGCCTTCCTCTTATAGGCTAGTGGACAGAGGAAAAGTTACTCGACTGATAAAAATATTCAAATTCTTTTTTAGCAGGTTAAATTAATTGCCGGAGCCTTTCTGCATACAAAAACTGAAAAACAACTATATCCACCATTTGGTCAGGAATTACCAAAAAATATATAGTGTACTTTTGTTCTAATAAAATTCAACTCAGAGAATTATCTAAAAAAGAATGTCAGTTTATCTGAAACACTGAGACTATAGAAAAAGATAAAGTAAATACTTAAGGGGCAAAGAGCCACTTATTGGACGATTTGGCAAGTCAAAAACGAATGAAAAACTGATAACTGATTTCCTTAAACAGCCCTTTGAGGTATTGACTTCCTACTTGAGTGACTATAATAGGTAAACACTGAAAGAGACTCGATCAAAAATGAAGCCCTTTGGTACCTAAAAACTTTAATATGGATTTTGAATCGTAAAACATGATAGTAAATGTTATGTCTATGAAGTTGTCCGATACACATACATCAATGAACCCAAAATCATTCACAAATGACTCAAATGACCCCCCCCCCTTACCCTAATCTAATCCTCTAATTTTCTGTGTATTTATTACAAAAAATAAAAGATTGAGTGAGGTTTAAAAAATCTGCTTTACATGAAAGCGCTGAGAGAAGTGAGTGAAAAAATAAAACTTCTACATCATTTGGGCATGATAACAAACAAGAGCTCAGAGAATTAAAATCAAAGAAATGAAACAGAGCAAAGGGACCCTAATCAGTGATCATAAAGCTCAATACTTCAAATGAGGGAGCTCAAAAGCCAGCATCAAATATTCCTTCTTTACACCACAAATTCCAAACAGCAATTTGGTTGATCCCTGAAGTTACTGAGCACATTTTGTGGGTAATTGATAACATTAATGGCCAATTAATGAGGCGTTAATCATGGGAAGGATACCGGACCCAATGGCATTTCCAATCACGTTTCCTAGAGGAGCATTAAATGTTAGTGGGCTGGGGGGAGAGTATCTTTGATGTTCCTTCAATTGTGAGCTGCAGCTTATTCCAGCGACATCAAAGCTCTCTCTGAAATGAGAAACAGAGGCACTTGATTTACTCCCACCACCATGCAATGCAGCGGCTGCCCTCAGTTGCCTCTTTTGAGTGCAAAATTACACTCTCTTTCATTCACGTTTGGTAAAGTTTACTACGCAAGAATAAATATTTGTGTCTGCGAAAACATGTTCCAACAAAGATTAAGATGTTAACAAGTAAAGGAGTGAAAGTCAGGCATGCAGGTAGATAAGAATCCAGCCAATTGTGCCTGCATGGTGTGTTTGAATGAGATATCAACTAAAGAGACGGGCTTTAAACAGTTATATTGCTGTCTTACTGCTCTGATAATCCCATAAACCAGGACTTAAGGACCTTTATCTCTGTGCTTACCTCCTCCATTATTCTGCATATAGACCTTGATTTATCTTAGATGTACTTAAGGTTCAAAGCTGGCAATGGCCTCATAAGTATGTTGATTTATATGGGCCTCGTTAAGCCCGAGCCACTCCGGCCTCAATTTCCTATTACATAATTCTTACAAGTAACCTATTCAATAATTAAAGCTACAAGACAGGCCATTTGTCAGCTGTGAGGAAGAATGGTCGTATTTGGCAGTGTGTTTACCTTCTGTGCCAGGCAGTGCTGAGTACTGCAGTATATCACTTGGTTTCATTTATCAGAGAATAACTGTTGTTAGATTTAAGCTGTTAGGCCTATATTGCACTTTTACATACTCGTAAATGTAAATCTAATAAATTAGAACAATCTCTGTGTAAATTTAACTTTTCTCAAGGAGACTTTTGCTCAGGAATTATTGCTGATGAAGGCCAATATGACATTGTTTAAGATACAAAAGATTGTCCTGAACTAGCTTCCGAATCTCTGTCCTGAAATTGGTCCCGTTTCATTTGAAGATAATAAATTAAATGAACATAATAGTCAACAAGAAACAATTAGCTTAAAGTCGGATCGGTTCAATTACAATTTGGGAAAACCTCTCAACCCTGTCCTGTTTCACTCTTACTGCCTTAAAAGAAAATTCATTTGATTAAAAATATTTAGAGCACTTGGGTGTTGTTTTGGGGAAGACTAAATGCAACGTGTAATCCCTGATTCAGTGCTGGTGTTGAAAAGCTAAGTATACTTTCTGTGGTTGACAACATACCTGACACGGTCACAAACTGTCATAATAAACTCAAACTGACAGTATGCTCACCAAATCTGCTAAGAAGTATTTTCCAATCCTCTCTGAATAACATCTGATGGACATGTTTGCTCATAGTGTTGTTGCCAGTAAAACCTCAGTAAATATTAGTTCTTATGTACCATTTTAAAAGTAGAAAAGTGTTGTTTCTATTTCACTTTCTAGATTTAATTAAAGGTAAATGTGTGACATTTTGACTGAATAGCAATGAAATCTAATGCACATTTCGGATCATAATTTAACTGTTTTTCCATGAATGTTGTACAGTTTTTTTAACAAAACAATCATACTATCTCTGACTGAGCAGCCTGTCCCTACAAATCTGATGTTCCTGTTCTCCCTGCATCTCTCTGTCTCTTCCCATCTGTCATTCTCCTCTCTGCATTATTATCTGTCATGCTGTAGACATACAGTACCACTTGACAATAATCTGAAAGGGAATTAAATACATGTTAAATGTGTGGGAGCTTTGCCTTTTCCACCTTCGTGCTTGATATAGGGATATGTGAATGATAGTTATGCAACCATAATCTGCCAGGGGAATGATTCCTTGCGATTTTTTCTTGGCTCCACCTTCAGCATTAAGCTCATCTTCTCAGGACAGGCAGCAGAGTAATGAGACGTGATTATGTAAAGTCAACAGACTAGAACACTTCAGAAAGAAAACTGTGATGTTTTCATTTAGAAAATAAATAAAGACACAGAGAAAACTAAGATAGAAATGTAACCACTTGTTTTTACAGTTGGGCAAGTCCTCAACGTTTCCTCTTGACCTTAATAGTCACTGTGAATATAATTCTGGTCAACAGAAATGTTCGTTTAGTACTGTCACAGACTGTCAGGGATTAAGATGCTTGCGACAACAGTTCCAGAAACTAAACAGATGACTGCTCGCTTATAATTCACTCCTGCTTGTCTTTTCTTCTGTCCCCCCTGTCTGTCTTGCCCAAAACATGAGTTATGAGTTGTCAGAGGCAAAAATGTAACTTATCAAATGGTACCTGTAATTCTGTGTGACATTGGGTACCGTCACTCTGAAATGTCCACATTGAAACTTGAAGATATGTTGATATATTTTGATTGATTAATATAAGAATTATTTTAAATGTTTTAAAATGTCACTTGCTATCTAATGGATAACATAATGTTGGTCATTTAGAGGATCTCTCATACTGTTTCATAGAAATCTTGAAAAAGGTCAAACTGTGTAGGCACATTCTGCTATTTTTGCATTTAAATGAGAAGGTAAGGTAGGTGTGAACAATCCTTGATAAATAAGATGAACGCTTGCATGTACTAATTTGGTTTTATAAAGAAAACCAATATTAACAGTGGCAGTAAAGCCCTGATGTCAACACCACGTTGCTTGAAAATAAGCCATTAAAGGACAAACAAAAAACGTAACATGAAAGGCATTCAGCCATTATCCATTGTATTCATGTTAAGAGTTGTTGTTCAAAATACAACACAATACACAAAAATACTAGGTTTGTTGCAATGCCATTACACTTCAGACCTGCCATGTGAATCCCATGTTACAATGGCGCCATCAAGTGGGGTGATTTGGTCACAATTATTTAATGACACCCAACTAATCACCAACTGAGTCACTTCTGAATCCACTGCTTAGACTTGTCAAACTCAAGGCCCGGGGGCCAAATCAGGCCTGTGGTGGATTTAATTTCGGCCCGCAGGATCATTTCTAATTACTATTAGATCTGGCCCGCCGGTATATTGCACGCACACCTTCACTAAAATTCCCTGAGGATTTCCTCCGCTCAGGGGCCTGACCCCAAACGTTGATGAACTGCACCCAAGATGAGATGCCAAGTATCTGGCTTAGTGTGCATACCACCGAGCAGCCACACTGAGTTTGAATGGATGTTTCCTGTTGTGCACTTTCTTTCTTGCGACAACAGGGCATGTCTTTGAGGGGAAATTGTTTGTTTTGAAGCTGTTGTTGGCCTGTGGAAAATGTGTAATTGCTAGAATCCACTTCAAGACACTGGTACTTGCGTGCTGCGAAGGGATCTTGCCCTTCCTACATCCAGGACAATGGTTAAACCGTACAGAACCCCAGCGCGTGCACTCCGCTCTGCATCAGCCAAACGACTCGCTGCACACCCTCGCTGCGAGGGGGGACCCAAGTTCCCATTCAGCAAAAACACGTGGGTTTGCTATCCTGGCTCCAAAATGGTGGATGAGCTCCCCCATTGACATCAGGATAGCAGAAAGCCTGCACATCTTCCGGCGCAAAACTGAAAACTCATCTCTTTCGACTCCACTTCGAGCCAATAAAATGACTAACTAAGCACTTATATACTAATAAAGGACTGGCTTATCTAAAACCTGTTGAGTAGCACTTGAAATGTTTTGCTCTATGAAACCTGATGTACTTATAAGATTCTGTTTTCTTCAAGGTTGTGTCTTCCTGGTCGAATGTACTTATTGTAAGTCGCTTTGGATAAAAGCGTCAGCTAAATGCAATGTAATGTAATGTAATCA